AATAATTAAAAAACCAAAAAGAACATGAAAGGTTTGTTTGATTAATATGACTTTCATTTAAAAAATAATTTTAAAATATGAGAAAATATAAAGTAATAAATCAAGTTTTCTTAACATGTCATATTATCTTTTTATGATTCTATTTTATATATAGATAGATAAAAGGGTCGTTATTTAAAAACTCATAAAATTATGATAAATTTGAGAATCGGTATATCATGTATTATTTTACACAATCTTTTTTTCATATACGACTTGAATTTTAAGTATTGATTAATATATATTTGTTTCATGATGTTTTTGTTTCACAATGTGAACACTTTTATGTGCTTTATGTGTTTGTGAAACAAAAAATACAACTAAAAAGTTTTTTTAATCGTGGACTAAATGCACATGAAACAAAGACACTCTAAAACAAATATATGTTAATTAATATATTAACCCCATGAGTTATCACAAAGGCATCTCAACCTCGTTTTACAAACCCACCATTTTTTACAATCTTTCAACCCTCAATCGATATGGGATACACAAAACTTAATCATAATTAAAAATTGAATATTATTCAATTCTTAGGGTACCACATCAACGATTTTGTTTCTTACTTTCAAAAATCTACTCGATCAATCCCCTTGCCCCTCATTTTTCGAGAATCAGGAATATCCTTTTCAAGTTTGAATTTGTTCATTTGGAATCTGAGTTCTTCTACTTCATTTTTATTTACTTATTTTATTGATTTTTATTTACTATGAATATTTTCCCCTCCCTTTTAGAAATAGGTGACGAACAAGTGCATATATGAACCCATAAGTGCATATATGAACCCATAAGTGCATATGTGAACCCATAGTTCATATGTGAATCACACGGGTTCATATGTGAATCAGTTAATTAGTTCATATGTGAGACACACGAGTTCGTATGCGAATTAGTTAATTAGCTCATATGTGAATTAGTTAATTAGTTCATATGTGTGTGTATCACATGGGTTTATATGTAATCAGTTAAATACTTAATATTTGAATCACATGGTTTTACATGTGAACATATAGTTCATTTGTGAACCACACAAATTCACATATACACTTGTTTTGCCGTGTATTTGGAGAATTTATGAAACTACCCTCTATCTTCCGCCTACCATGTGAGGATTTAACTGATGATTTACAGTCAAAGTTACAAATCTTGACCAGATGAAAGGTTATGATCACTTCTCTACTTCTCAAATATTTAACACTTCTCAAATGAACACACACACACACATATGTATATATATATATGTATATATATATATATATATATATATAGGGTTAGGTTCCAGAGAGAAGGAGAGTTGAGGTGATAAGACTTCGGTCTTCATACCCTCTGTGTCCGAGCTCTTAGTTTCGGACCTTGCTTTTGGGTTGGCTTTGCTTTTGGGTTAAAGAGTCCAAAGGAGCTCTGGTTGGTCTTGCTCTGTATGAGGCCAGTTTTATCTATGAAGTATAATCTTGAAGTATGACTCTTTAGACTTGTAACTCCGAATTAGAACCCCGAAGTTTGAAGTCTTCATTTTCAGACTTTGCCAACCCGAAATCTGAAGTCTTTATTTTTAGACTTAGCCAACCTAAAGTCTGAAGTCTTCATTTTCAGATGTAGCTTATCCAAAGTTTGAAGTCTTCATTTTCAGATTTCCATACTTGGCCCAAATTGCTTTAATAAATCTTTCATGATATTTAGGACAAATTTGGTCCTAACAGTTGGTATTACAATATGAAATTATAACTTGATTTGGTGATTTTCACCCTGTAATTGCATCAAAGGGATTTCTCACTACACATCAAGGTCTAATACTCATTTTGTGTTTCAAAAATTTTCATTACAGGTTGGACTCAATCTAAGGATAAGGAAAAAGGGGAAATT